CAGCACAGGAGGGGGCACCTGAGCTAGAGAGTCCAAGAGCTGGAGTTGAGGAGGCAGAAGTAGGAAATAGTGCTGAGTTTGAGGGATGGTCAGTGTCCTAGTTTGATGGTAATATAGTGTGTGGGAAGGGAGGGTAACCTAAAATCAGTCTGGAAAGAGGTGGGTGCCGGATTGTGGACAACTCCTAGAATATCACACTGAAGAGTTTGTGTTTTATCCTAAAGGCAGTAAGGATCCATCAAACATTTTTGTACAGGGCAGTGATATAGTTTGTGGGTTGTTTTTTTTTTTGTGAGAATATTAATTTGTGTGCTTTGTGGAAGATGGGTTAGAGATGATAGTCTGGAGGCGGTGGTACCTATTAGAAATCTATTATAGTTCAAACAAGGTATAATAAGGGACTCACTACGGTAGAGGCTATGTGAGTGGGGAGAAGGGAAAGATTTGTGAGAGTTTGTGGAGGTAGATGGAATGGTAATGACATCAAAAGAAATTGGGAAGTTGGTGACAGTATTTAGGGAGGAAACAAGTTCGTTTTAGGACCTATTGGGTTTGAGTTGTCATCAGGACAGCTAGGTAGAAATGTGCCACAGACATTTCTAAACTAGTCCTCGGGGAGGAGGTAAGACTGATTATGATCTAGATTTGAAAGTTATTTGGGCAGAGGTGGTAATAGAGCTAAGGGAGTAGTTGAAATGTCCAAGAATCTAATGTCTAGATCATGGAAAGTACAATCCTACTGTACTTGATAGCGGTTGAACAATGGTTAGAATATGTTTAGTTCTTATCGCTACATTTCACTAAGAGGGACATAGGCAATTTCGGAGGACAGTGACTAGGATGATGAAGCATCTAATAGTTGAGGAAACTAGAGATATATATAGCCTGCAGAAGAGAGGGCTATTGTGAAAGAGCAATAAACATATTTATTGAACATGGATTCTGATAAAATTCTAAGGTTTAAAATTGCAAAGGACATTCTGGCTACTACTGAAGTGATAGAGAAACCTAAAATATTTACCATTTCATTAAAAAATGAAGGGACTTAAAACTTTTTAAAGTTTACTAGTAATATTTCTTCAAGCATTGTCTAATGTTAAATGATTCCTTTTTCTGGTTGTTGTAATGTGTATGGTATTATGACTCAGTTACTGAATTTACAAAGTGGCTTCTAATTTTTTAATATTTTGATAAAAGATAGCTCCAAGACAGTGGGAAAATTAATTCTAGTTGAACTTAACTTTCTTGCTTCAAAAAAGTTTTTCATTTGGTCCTTTTTCAAATTGTTAAATTTATCTTTTGTGAGTAATTTCTTAATAATTCCAAAAGACTCTGAGGTATAGAACTCATTTCCTTTGGTGTCATCACTGTTTTATCCCAAAGCTACATATAGTGCTTTGAAAAGTATTAATTTGAAGGTGATTGTCTTTAAAAGTTCATTTATAATGAAAAGTTCTTACTAAAAAATTATTCTGAATATTTTTCCTTTTTCTTCTTTAAACGGAGTGACTAATTATATATGACACTAATGAAAATACTGATAGGAGGTAGGATTCCATCAGCAGGTTAAGTGACTTCCTTGGAGTCATGCAGCTAATAAGTGTTGGAGTTGGGATTTGAGACCAGATTTTCGTGATATCTATGGATCTCCATGGCCTCTATATTATACTCTAATTTATGATCTCATGAATTTCGGTATTAACTTTACTCATACTGATTGTAACTTCTCCATGCCTGTCTCTCCTTATGTGACTATTGTCCATGGTCTCCCATACATTTATCACGACCATGTTCCTCCCATTATCTTGTAGGTATTTCTGTGGAGGAAGGCTACTGTCCATCTCTTGTCACTCCTCTCTTAGTACTGCTCTTCATAATTCCCACTGCCCTTTGCTGTAAGATTTTTTTTTATAAATAAGTTAATATTCTAAACTAGTTCTTGCAGACTAAAATGATTTTTAGACTCTTTTGGTCTCGTGGCATTTGTTTTACAGAGTTAAATAGTCATTGTGTAAATATCCTTTCCTCCATCTGTTTCCCATTTGTCAGCAACATTTAACTGATTTAAATATATTAATTTGGAGGTTTAATTGAATACTTTAACTTCTTATTTTTAGTCTTAGGGTTTTGTAGTAATTTTGATATTTGTCCTAACACGACAATAGTCTGACTCTACAGAGATGATTCAGGAATGATTCCCACATCAGTAATGAGTTGTTTGTTTTTGATTTGCTAATATGTAATCACATGGTTTGGGGTGGGGTGGGGAGGTTGTTTGGGATTGTTTGGCTTTTTTGGCGATGTTACTTGGTGTACCACTTCATTTATTTGCTTCTACATTCAGAACCTGTGAAGCATCTTTCCATTTAGCTGCAACTTCTTTTTGTTTTCTGGTTTCATTTATAGCCACAGTGTCAAGATTGGTAAGATTCAGTTCATTAAGTTCAGCACATCGAGTCAGTTCTACCTTTTCTGACAAGTCTACATGTTCAATATCTCTTACTTCTGTCCCATCCTTTCCATGCCTGTCATCCTTATGGAAGCCCTTATAAAGCTGTATTACAGTCAACATAGAATTCTCTAACAGAATCAAACAATTAAGGGTGGGCTGTGAATTACTCCATTTTTAGAATGTGTATAAACATTAACAACTATTGGTCTTCAAAATGATAAATCCTTGTCCAGTAACTTATTTAATGTGTACAGTTGGCCAGATTTGATCCTGGTGTGGCTGCCAAGTACAATCCTGATCTAACAATTTTATACTTGTACGCTCTTGAACAAAAGAAAAACCTGGTAAGAATGTGTGGCCAGATCAATGTAAATCATTACCATTACTAGAAAAAATAACTAGTTACACCTTCTTATTTCTTACCTAGTTTTGTTTTTTCCTTATTCAAAAACCTTTCAGTGACTTACAGTTGCCCCAGATTCTTCATGGTAACTAAAAAGACTCCCCACAAATTCATCAGTTTGCCTCTGTGGTCTCATATCCCATTATGTTTTTATATGGCCACCACACTTCACTCCCTAAATAGACCCCACACTTTCCTGCCCATTCCTTGGCATTCCTTCCCTGGAAATCTTGTCCGTCACCTTTTAAATCCTACCTTTAAAACCCACCTCACATTCTTCCTTCATGACTCCTTCCTGCCTTCTCCCATACTAGAAATAATGTTTTATCTCTCTGAACTTATGTAACATCTTGTTGTGCTTCTTACCAGCCTTAGAAAATATTTTATTGGTATCTTTTATTTGTATATCAATTCATTTCTAAGTATATCCCTTCCTGCTATCTTTCCTATAGCCATCCTTTGTAACAAAGAGGAAAAAAGGGGAAAAAAATAGTTCAGCAAAACTCACCAACACATCAGCCCAGGCTGATGGCGTGTGCAGTGTTCCCTGTCCAGAATCTCCCCTTCCCCCACCCTCCAAAAAGACCAAGGAGTTGCATCTCGTCCTCTTTTCTTTTGAGGCCAGGCTTCATCATTATAATTACATATTGTTAGTTTCAATTGCTTCCTTGTGCTCTCTATATACCTTGTTATGATTGCTGTGTATATTGTTTTCCTGGTTCTGCTTATTTCACTTTGCATCAGTTCATTTAAGTATTTCCTTGTTTCTCTGTTTTTATATTCATTTATTACAGCATATTGATATTCTGTTACATTCATTTGCCACAGTTTGTTTAGCCATTCCCCAATTGTTTCTAATTCTCTGGTACTCTGAAAAGTTCTGTTACAGATATTTTGGTATGTATGTGGCCTTTTCTTTTCATCATTGACGTTGGAATATATGTCTGACAGTGGGATGTTTCAGTCAAATACTACAGACATTTTAATCACTCTTAGCATAATTCCAGTTCACTTTGTAGAATGGTTGAATCAACCCATAGCCACCAACAGAGTATTAGTGTATCACAATTCTTCCAACATTGATTTTTTTCCCATCTTTTGTCATCTTTACCAATTTACCGGGTGTGAGGGAAAACCACAGAGTTGTTTTTATTTTTATTTCTCTTACTCATGACTTGTAATAATCTTTCATCTAGTTAATACTTTTCAATTCTTTGGAAAATAGTTTGTCCACATGCCTTGACCATTTATCCTACTGGGTAATGGTTCTCTTTTTGTGCTTTTGCGTTATACTTTGCATTGTATTATTTATTTCTCCAACTAGATTGTAAGCCTGTGATAGCAAGGATTTTGTCTTATTCATCTTTGTACAACCTTCCACCCCCACTGCCCAGTCTTAGCCCCTGCCTTGCACATAAGAACATAATACCTCAGAGATGGAAGGACCCTTAGAATTCTCTTTTCCAACCCTTCCCATTTTACAGATGAAGAAACTGAGAAAACAGAAGTTTTCATTCTGCCTAAAAGTCAAACAGCTAATTATGTAGTAGCAATACATATTTTTTAACTAAATTGAATTTTTTCCAGCTCATCACATTGGTATGCAGAGTAGTTTGGTCATTTTTCTGTTAGCCTCCATGATTAGAGAATGGAAAGACAAAGTTAATAGAACAATAGTTTTTCCTGAATTCAGAAAGCCCTTCAAGATCTCAAATACTTTAGAGTAAGCATAAGCATCAGTCACTGAAGCAGGACAGTGTTTTTAGAAGATTTCCTACAGATACCTGGTCAGGCAAACTAGTTTTAGTTACTAGGATTGGTTCTGTCTTCTTTGAAATTTATGTTCCTAGTCTACAGTGTGTGGTCTCTTCTTTCCCCCTTCCCATACCCAACCCCAGTACCTTCCTTCTGAGATTGTCAGCTATTTCCTGTATCTATAGACAGGTAGATAGATAGATATTTTGTATGTACATTGTTGTTTGCATATTGTCGTCCCCATTAGCCTGTAAGCTCCTTGAGAGGGACTCAACTTGCCTAGTTTTGTATCTCCCATTGCTTAGCACAGTGCCTGACACATAGTCAGGTACTTAACCATAAAATGTTTTCTATTTAAGCTAACCTTAAAATATGTTTTATATCTTTTAGGCTTTAGAAAATCTGAGGGTGTATTTATGTGAAAAAATCATAGCTGAGAGACATTTTGATCACTTACGTGCAAAGAAAATACTCACTAGAGAAGACACGGAAGAAATTTCTTGCAGAACATCGAGTAAAAAAAGAGCTGGTAAGCTGTTGGACTACTTACAGGAAAACCCTAAGGGACTTGACACTCTAGTCGAATCTATTCGACGAGAGAAAACACAGAGCTTCCTGATAGAGAAGATCACAGATGAAGTGCAAAAGCTAAAGATTGTCAAACTTGAGTACCTGAAAGGTAAGGTGACATGCATGTATGAGGGAACAAGTTAAACAGAAAAAGGGAAAAGTAAAGCAATTCACTTAATAGAATTGATTTTTTTTTCCCCTTAGTTTTTAACCCAAGAATTCCACTAGGATTGCCTTTTCTGCTTTAGAAAATTTTATTAGGTTGAAAAAATGGAAAATTACTGGAGGATTTCTATTTAATTATAGCTGATATGCATGGATTTAGTTACACAGCACTTCCTCCCAGATTGATGGAAGATGTGAGGTGAAACATGTATTACTAGGCCTACTTTACAAATGAAGAAACAAAATTAGGGTGAGTGACTTCCCAAAGGCACAGGGCTAAATGTAAGGAACAGCACTTCTGAGGCCTCTACTATGGATCTGCAGTTACCCCACTAATACAGCTAAATGAGATCTAGTTTGCTTAGTGGGTCAGCAGAATGTTTTGCTGGATAGGGACTAGACCTGTAATTTTTTTGTTAGTGTAGGGAGCTCCCAAATGAACAGACTCCCTCTGCCAATGCAGCTTGACCTTTGAAACTTAGAACCTTTGAGATTCCCTGGAACAAGTGAGAGCTGAAGTGCCTTGGCCAGGATCCCACAGCCGGGATGTGTCAGATCTTCCTCGCCACAGGGATTCTTAACCTTTTTTGTGTCTCCACTCTGAAGCCTGTGGAACGCTTCACATAATACTGTTTTTAAATGCATTAAAGAAAATATAGGATAACAAAGGGAACCAACTATATATGTACATAGATATGTATACACACACACATATATATATATATTCAATTATAAAAATTTTTAAGAAAGAAGAAGTTCATAAACTCAAGGTGAACCTCTGCAACTAAACCATCTTTGTTGTGTCTGAGTTTCAAGATTGGAAAAACTCACAGGAAAGAGTAACCTGGATCAGAGTTTATCAACCTGCAAATCAATAGATTCTTCTTGATCAACATTGGATATTTGCTGAGCCAGGTTAATTGTTTTGTCCTTTGACTACAACAAGAATTTTCCTTTTCCACTTCCCTAGAATGCTAAGGCTATTAGTTAAATAAGCACAAGATTAAATAGCGTCTTCCAAAAGACACTCTACTAGTAAATTTGCTCATCACAAATGGACATTAGTCATTTCATAAATTTTATCCTTGATATACATTGTTAGAAATGAATTTTATTAAGCATGTATTCTGTTTGCCTTTTCCTATTATTTGGGCACTTGTTCTTTTGTGCTAGAACTCTAGTAACTATCCAATACCTCTGAAAACTACTTCTTTTATGAAGAAGTTTGAAATTAGTTTATTTTCATTACTGACTAGATTTCCTTAAGCAGTAATACTTAGTTCAAGTTTCAGAGGAATCCTGGATGTTGGGCTTTTTTCCTACAATATTGGACCGCCAAAATGTTACAGTAACTAGCAATTTGATAATAGTTATTTGATTAAATATTTGTTGAGGGGCAGCTAGGTGGCACAGTGGATAGAGCACTAACCCTGGAGTCAGGAGAACCTGAGTTCAAATCCAGTCTCAGACCATACACTTGACACTTACTAGCTGTGTGACCCTGGGCAAGTCACTTAACTCCATTGCCTAGCCAAAACAAAACAATATTTGTTGAATTGACTGTCACTGATTAGAAGTTTTACTAATCATCTTCTATGGTTTTATTTTAGGATTGCACCATAGCTATATGCCTCTTCCACCTGGAGCAACAAATAGTCTGTCTAGATTAGATTCTAATGAGTGCAATTTCTCTGATAAATTGAAAGATGGAGATGCCACTGTTGTTTACCATCCAACAGGAGAGTCCAGCACAGCCTCCTTTTATTCCAACAATACTTCCTTGAATTTACCTGTTGTAGAGGTAGGCAGAACCGAAAATAGTGTCTTCTCCTCAACTCCCCTTCCTGGACCTGGAGACCCTGGGGCACCTCCTCTTCCACTGGAGCCACAGTCAGAGGAAGAAGGAAACTCTACTGATATGTTTCTTCCCTTAAGATCACGTTCTTTTTGCCAATGATGACAGCTTACCACTTCTTTAAAAAGTTATTTCAGAAATATTTAAAACGGCTTATAAAACTTTAAGAAAACAGTTACTGTAAATGCTTACTAACAACCTACTGTAGCATTTTTAATATAGTTTTATCACGCTATGTAAATGGAATATTAATGCATTTTTAGGGAATTAACTATAAAGCACATTTTGATTATGTATACTATTGTTTACTTTTCTTCCTTTTTCATTGTAAGAGTTTTAGTTTGCTGTTTTTTGGGTTTGTTTTTTAATATTATTTCAATTGAATTTTTGCAGCTGGGGACAATTTCCCACAGGCAGAGGGTTATGAAGTGGTGGGATTACTGGGGCTGCTGCAGCCTCACAGGAGGATGAGGTTGAGGGCATGATGGAGAAGTCACTAACAGTATTTGTTAACAGCGTAATAGTCTCAAGAATAGTAGAGGGTTTTTTAAAGTCAAATTTCCTTTAAGAACCCAAATACCTGTTTCCATTTTTAGAGCAGTATACCAAACCTAATTTATTTTCAAGTGTTTGTGATATGTATACTTCTAGAAAATAATTGTGAATTGTCGCCCACAAACTTGACCTACTACATACAGTGTTTTTATAAGAACAGTTCTGAAGATTGAATTATTTTTGTCCACATGTTACTCATGATTACCAGAGACATTTTATTACAAGAGAAAAATTGTGGTTATCTTTTAAATAGTTAATTTACAGAATAGTTGTTTTTTTAAGTTCCTTAAATAATCAATAATATTTTCTCCTTAAATGGGCTTCAAAATGTTTTCTCTCCACCTTTACATACCATTCCTTAGGGTCTGTTTTGTTTTCCTACCAAAATAAACAAAGCCTGCCTATCAGCTGTAAACCATTCTTAGATCAAATTTTGATTAATGATACCAGTGTAGCCCTGATATCCTCTTCCTCCTCCTCTCCCTCCCCCCCCAAAAAAGTCAATACTGTTCTTTGGGGAAAAATAATATATAAGTTCTTTCAGGTCAAAAATTATCTTTAAAGGTGTTTGTTTTACAGACAACTGAGAATCCAAAGTCACAATGTATTTGAGTACTCTGAAATGTTCCATTTATAAGTTCGGTTCTTAGACGTTTGCAGTTTATTTTGGATTGTTAACTCACTATAAATTAGTAATATAGTAAGATTTCTGCTATCATAATTCAAGTTTTTAAGAGAGCTTTAAAATACTGAAATGATTTCTAGGGCCTAAAGAATACTTAAACTTAAATTCTTAAGAACTGACCATTATCTAAACGTTAGGATCAGTTGAGATAATAGTCTACCCAGGGGTAGAGTAGAACTGCTCTCCTGTACTGCATCCTATCTAGTTAAACAGCATGTCAGGGTCTTAGGATCTCTTTGACTTGAAAGCAGTAATAAATTTTCCCCACCAATACATTTCCCCTCCAATTACATACCTCTTTCTAATCTGTTCACATTATCTTTACTGTGATGATGGATGAAAGAAGTTTTTATAACCTGACTCTTGAGGAACCATGGACAACATACATTAATCTCTCGTGTGAGCAGAACTGTAGTTCTGGTAATTACAGAGAAGCTACAGTAGGCACCCATTCTCTGTAGGAGTTTGCACTGTCGATAGAGAAATTTAGTATTTGCCAAGAACATAGATTACATCCAAAGAATTTTTTGTGTTGGATATTACTAAGTTTAATATTTCCCTTTCGCCTCTTCAGTTTACTCTTGACCAAACCTGCTGCTATTAAAATTTATAACTAGAAATTGTTGACTGGAAACTTCTAAAAATTTGTACTTGGGACCAAGGGGGCACAAAGCCACAGAAGGGATACTGTGGTTATGATTTCTAGTGAAATCTGCATACTGAATACCTAAGCTCTCATCTACTCTCTTGACTGGGGCAGATTTGGGAACAGACGTTGTTCATCATTCATCATTAGCGAAAGTATTCATTTGGGCATAAACTAAATATGAGAGAATGAACAAAATTTTTTTGGTTCCTCAATACTGAGCCCCAGTATTTTCTTAATGTGTAAGAATTAGGAAGAAAACTGACTGATCTGTTTTATCTCCCCAGCAGAGGGAGCAATACAAGTTATAGAAAAACATTATGCTTGTAAATGAAATCTTTCAACTTATTTTTTTAATGTATTCTGAAAAATATTTTTATCTATACCAGATCATGTAAATACTAAATTGTAAGTGGTGTTAACTACATAAAAACATTTTTCGTTAAGTTTATAAAGTAGAAATCGATTATATTTTTCTAGTACCCTCGTATATTTGTCACAGTTGAGCTTTATTACTGAAGGAAAAAGACTTCTACTTAGTTATTTTTAATTTTTCTGAGTTACCTGGAAATTAAGGAATTATGTCCTACATTTTCAAAATATTCACAGTAACATATTTGCACTAAATTGTGGTTGTCAAATATAAATAGATTCAAAAAACTTAGTCATGTAGATTGAAATTCGGGGAAAGGTCTCAAATCTCTTAAGATATTTAGTATACTAAATGTTTAATTTTCAGTGTTTTAAGTTAAAGCTCAATTAAGAAGAGTGCTCCTGATTGCAGAGATGTCTAAAGATGATTCAAAAATACCTCGATGTCATTATTATGAAACTAAATGGTCACCGAAACAGTACTGTGGATGTTAAGTGGTTAGAAGTTTTAAGGCAAATTCATACAGGCCACAGGATAGTCCCTGAAAGTTTCTAAGTTTCTTTTTCTTGTGATTTGCCCATCTCTTCTGAAATGTGCCTTGGCTGGGCCTTGGGCAGAGCCAATTATTGGCTTCAATTTGGTTGACTTCCAAAATTAGGGAATCTTATTTTTTTGAAAGGAGTTAATTTTTAGTAAAATTTTAACAGATTACCTTTTAGTTTTAAATAAAATAATTTGAGTTCCTGAAAAGGTAAAGTAGATATTTCTATTTCCAGTGTGAAGTGCCTCACATTTCCAAATTAGTCAAATAAAATTATCCAAAGTTGAACAAGTGCCTTTTTGACCTTCCTTGGGTTTTCTTCAACATTTTTAATCAGGTAAAAATGTGACTGGAAGTCAGAAATATGAAATGAATAGCATAAAAGGCATTGAATGTAAGAGAATCGAAAGTACATGTAATATTAGTGTAATCCAGTGGGGATGTATTTCTAAATTCAAAAGTATATTTAATAAATATGAAAATTACTTTGCTGTGCTAACCAAGTCTGAATGTCAGTTTCCTCAAGTATTTCATGACTAAAGTCTGAAGAAAAAATTATTTTTACTATTCAATATAATTATGTTTTAATAAATACTTTTGTAAAGTTTTTCACCTTCAAGTGATGTGTATGTTTTACTACAGCCTTCCATCAGACCAGTAATGAAACTCAACAACAGGTTTTAGAGTTAAGTACTAGAAAAAAGGAACTGAGAAAAGGACTTCACTTCCAAATAACTGTGTTCTTGTAAAATTCATCATTTGGACCCTTACTTTAAAATCAGCACAGCAATAGAATGCCAAGTCAGTCTTTCTAATCTGGCTTCATCATTCCCCAGCTTAAGAACATTCTATTTAATTCAAGAGACAATAGGAACCATATACCAAGATTAGCTCCAAATGGATATATGACAGATATAAAACATCATATCAGAAATTAGAGGAGCTATGAAGAAAATACCTTTCAGATCTATGGGTAGGGAAATAGTTCATGACTAAACAAGTGATAGGAACATGATAAAAGTGGACAATTTGGATTATGTAAAATTTAAAAGCTTTTGCATAAATAGATCTAACAAAAATTAGAAGGGGAGTAGGTAAGTGGGATCTTTGCAACATGTTTCTTCAATAAAGCTATCATGTCTATTATAAAGAACTGCTTCAAATTTATAAGACTAAGCCATTCTCCAGTAGATACATGGTCAAGGGATACAAACGAGCAGTATGCAAAGGAAGAAATCCAAACCATCATTCATAAGGAAAAAAATTCATTAAATCACTAGAGAAATGCAAATTTAAAGCAACTTTGAAGTTCTATCTCACATTCTGACTGGCAAAGATGACAAAAGGAAAATAAAAATGTTGGGAAAATGATAACACTAATGTACTCTTGATGGAACTATGAATTGCTCTAGCTATTTTGGGAATAATTTGCAAAACTATGCCTAGAGTTACCATCCCCTTTGACCCAGCTAAATCACTACTAGGCCCATATGCCAAACATATTGGAAGAAAAGGAGCTATATGTGCAAAAATAAAGCATTTCTTTTTGTGGTAATGAAAAGTTGGGAACAAAAAGGGATGTCCTCTTGGTGAATGATCAAAATAAGTTGTATATGATTGTAATTGAAAGTTGTAACATAGATGGACAATTTCAGAGTAAACTGAAAAGACTTAATGAATGGATGCAGAGCTTAGTGAACAGAACCAAATAATTTATACAATGATAATATGGAGAAAAACAAATTTGAAAGACTTTAGGATTCTAATCAATGAAGTGATAAATGACAGGTATAAATAAATGAGGGGCAGCTAGGTGGTGCAGTGGATAGAGCACCAATCCTAGAGTCAGGAGGATCTGAGTTCAAATCAGGCCTTAACCTTGAGTAGCTCACCTAACCCTGATTGCCTCAAAAAAAGAATAAAAATTAAATGCCTCTGAGTGACAGAAAGGAAATTATTGCTATTTTTTTTTACGTAGCTAACATGGGATTTGTTTTGCTGAACTATTTAGTTATATATTGAGGATTTGGAGGTATTTTGTTAATTTGCTTAACTGGGGTAGTAGGAGGGACTGATTAATTTTAAAAATACTTATTGAAAAAGATTTAAGAAGAAGCAATAGCAAGTCATTGTAATTCCTCAGCTTAGCATTTGAGGCTCTTTGTTAACTGGCTATATCCAGTTAACATCCAACTTGACCTCCAACCTCCTATCTGCCATGTTTTCCATTTTAGCCAAGCCACTCTTCCTACCGTTGGCCACCTCTACTCAATGCCTACAAAGATAATAGTTGTACTTGCTTTGAATCTTGTTAGTTACTACTCTGCTAATTTTTCCACTTGTTCAATCCAAATCTTTGACACTAAGAATACTTCTACGATAAATGACAAACTAATAAGGGTCAAGTACATTTTCTGTTTTGCTTTGTTTTTCTTAAGTGTGTCTGAACCTGTGACTTTATTTATGAGAAACAAGCTCCATTGCTGAAGACTGATAAGTTACTGGTAACTTAGAATGAGTTGTAGAGGGGATCCTGAGAGGTTTGGTGACTTGCCCATCATTATTTATATCAGGCAGAATTGGGATCCTGACTTGAAGGCCTAACCTCAATCCACTGTAACTGATTCTCACAAATATAACTGGTAGGATTTGACATAGGAAAAGGCAGATAGTGAGAGCTCTATGAGAATTTGGGGAGGGAGTAATAACTTTGTGTTATGCAGTGAAAGAGAAACCGAGGTGTTCCCGGGGCCGAGCAGGGAACGGGACAGGGGCTTCCTCGCCTCTTGACTGCGAGGCAATTCCACAAGGGGGCGGAGCCCCTAACCCTGTTGTTGACTCCTTTCAGTCGTGCCGGTCTCTTCGTGACCCCATTGGGATTTTTCTGGAATGGGTTACCATTTTTTTCTGCTTATTTTACAGATGAGGAAACTGAAGCAAACAAGATTAAGTGACTTGCCCGGGTCACGTAGCTAGTTCAGCGTCTGAGGCCAGATTTGAACTCAAGAAAATAAATCTTCCTGACTTCAGGCCCGACGCCCTACTCCGCTACCTCGCTGCCCCTCTTCCTAATCTTAGGGCGACGGTCCTCCAGGCCACTCTGCCCCTCCGCAAGGAGGGATTTTAGCCGGGTTTCCCTCAGCAGAATAGCTGCCCCCACCACTTAAGAGGCGGGACTGAGGCGGGTCTGAGGGAGCGGGGCTTAATCAACTGAGCGGCATCCCGCCCTTAAGAGGCGGGGCTTCCCTGTCCTTCCCCTCCGTTTTACCCCCCCACACACACACACCTCCTCAGGGGGCGGGGCTTCTCCGGACTGGGCCGTCTCTCTCTACAAAAGGGACGGAACTTCCGGGCCGGGCGGCCTGAGGAGGTGGAGCTTCTTCAGCTGTGGGGCGGGGCTCCGCAGTTTCCCCCTCCTCCGGGAGGCGGGGCTTCTCCGGACTGGGCGGCCTCTCTTCACAAGGGGCGGGGCCTCTGGGCCAAGGCGGAGTGAGGGGGCAGGGCTTCCTCAACTGAGCGCTCCCCTTTAGTGGGCGGGGCCTCCTCCGCCCCGGCCCCTGCCCCGGGGGGCGGGGCTTGTCCGGCTCCCTGCAATCGGAGGACGCTCCGGGCGGGCGGGGCGCTCCGGCTCTGCCACTTCCGGCTTGGCGCCGCCTGGAGAGGGAGCCGAGGAGGAGGAGGCGGATCCGGTTCGAGATCGCGGCGGGATCCTCGCCGGGCTTTCGCTCGCCGCCATGGCCGCTGAGGAGAAGGACCCGCTCGGCTACTTTGCCGCCTACGGCGGCAGCAGCAACTCCGGCTCGTCGTCGTCGTCGTCTTCGGAGGACGACAGTGAGCCGGAGGAGGCGGGCCGAGAGGCCCGGGAGCCCGCCGAGCCGGCCGCCGGGGGCGGCGCGGCCGAGGGGATGCGGCTGCCCAAGCCGGACGAGCTGTTCCGGAGCGTGTCCCGTCCGGCTTTCCTCTACAACCCGCTGAACAAGCAGATCGACTGGGAGCGGCACGTCCGGAAGGCGCCCGAGGAGGTGAGTGAGCCCCTGCCGGCTCCGAGGTGGGGACCCCCATTCTGCGGGGGGGGAAACCGAGGCTGGCCCCCATGCCCGCAGGAGGAACCTGGGCGGTCACGCCGGCTGACAGAGGGGGAAACTGAGGTCCAGGTCCCACGGGCAGTAAGAAGCAGAGCCGGGCCCGGAGCCTAGCGACCCCCACCCCCCGCCCGGACCGTGCATTTATGGCCAGCTCTCCCGCTCTCTCCCCAAAACTCCCCACCCTTTTGGGGGTCCCTGCCTTGACGTGATGCCCTTTCCCCAGACCCTTGTCCCCTGGTTCCCTTGTCTGGAGGAGGAGGGTGCCTGACGCCCCTGGATGCTCCCGGACCCCTTTCCCTGCGACCACCCCTGGCTGACCATCAGCCCTGTCGGGGTATCGCGGAAAGGGATTCCGGCGGACGGGGTTGAGGGAGCTCAGAAGCCCTTTCCATGCCCATCCCCGAGTCAGTCAGCGCCCCGTGCTCCCCGGGGGGACACATGTGGGCTTTCTTAGCAAACTTTGTGCGTGCAGACGGGAAGTTCCCTGGCAGGCACCCGGTGCAGGAAGATGCAGCCAGAGCAGGCTCCGGCTACGGCCCGCAGCCTCGCGTCTGCCCGGCTTCGGTGTGTTTGTTCCGCAGCCTCCCCGGGAATTCAGAGTGTGGAAGACCAGCTCGGTCCCGCCGCCCGAGACCTACGGCGTCAGGGAGAAGAAGCCCCCGCCCCCTCCCGAGCTGGACATGGCCATAAAGTGGTCCAACATCTACGAGGACAATGGGGACGATGCGCCCCAGAATGCGAACAAAGTGAAGTTACTGCCAGAGGGGGAAGAGACCTTGGAATCGGGTAATGAGCAGGATGATAGCTGCAGCTCCCTATCCTTTGGTCCTGAGAGTTATTCCTGAGAGCTAAGAAAGAGGGATAGTATTCCAGCTTTACAGATGAGTAAACGGTGGAGCTCAGAGAAAGTAACTTCTCCAAGGTCACATTATCAGTGAGAGATGGATAGGATTTGGAACTCTGGTCTTCTGACTGCAGAACTTCAAAATATAGTGCTTTATTTCAGGAGCAACAACTTAAAGTGTGTGTGTGTGTGTGTGTGTGTGTGTGTGTGTGTGTGGTTTAAGCGAGGAAATGAATGTAAAGGATGTAAAAGGATCATAGAGCATAGGTTTACAGTTGAAAGTGATTTGCACAAGGTCACTCAGTAAATAGCAGAGCCAAGATCTGAACCTAAGATTTCTGATTCCAAATTTAGCACAATTTTCCAGTGTGCCACAGCTGCTTCTATCATTGAATTGTCAAAATGATTCATGATCATCTTCGGATGATTTTTGGTTTTTGCAGTAGAAGAAATACATCAAGCTGGTTTTAAAGTGAAGTGACTGATGACCTAAAGTCCAGGGTCACTGCTATAGGTCAGTGAGATCTCCTCTGGTGTCAGGTATGATTTGTAGATGTTCTATAATTAAGGTGACACAATTATTTATTCTTTCCTTGTGATTGCATCTGTGAAAAACTAAAGCCACCTTTTTACATTAAAGCAGTTGTACTAAGATAAGGATGAAAAAAAAGTGAACTTAACAGAGCATTACTCCAAATAGTAACAGGAAGATGGTGACAAAAGTATCCTAGCCTGAAAAAAAATTTCATTATTTTTTAAACCAGATCTCTAGCCATTTTGAAATGAAGGGCCTCCTTTGCTCTTGTCATACCCATGGGTAGATATTAGAAGGAGGCAACTGAAACAGTGTATCTCCCTTGCTCATATTCTGGCCTGCTTTCTATTTTGCCTGAGCATATCAGAGGCCCATGAATAATTGACACTCAACATGTTGAGAAACATTTTTAAGAAGTGGATAACTCCATAGAAATTTAAAGAGCTTAGCTGAAGTGGGTTATTTATAGAGCTACAATATTTTGCTCTTTTAAAAATTATATAAAATGCCCAGTTGAATAAGCAGAGCCTGTGGAGTCTGGTCTCTTGGAAACTCCTGGGAAGCAGCTCTGTCTCTATAATAAAGTTATTGAGACTGAGGTTTCACAATAGAGGGCTGTGGTTCTGAGGCTGGAGATGGCCTAAGTTATATCAAAGTAAAGACCAAAAGATTGGGTTTCTCTCAGCTTGGTACTTCCAGTATGCTGCAGGCAAATAGCTGGAAAAATTTTACCTTTGTTCCCTATATCATTCTTCTTTAGTCTTGACAAGTTCAGAACTTAAAGCTTCATACAAGGATAGAGAAAAGCAGAAGGGTTCAATTTAATCTATATAAAGATATTTCATAAAATTAACTACTAGTCCCAGAAAATTAGTTTCTAAACAAAAATAATAATACTAAGTAGTATTTATATAGCACTTTAAGGTTTGCAAAACACTTTAAAAATATTTCATTTTGTCCCCACAACAACTTGGAAGGTGAATCCTGTTATTATACTGTTTTACAGATAAGGAAACTGAGGCAGACAGGTTAATGCTTTGCTCATAAAGCTAGTAAATGTATGAGGCTGGATTTGAACTCAGGTCTTCTGTGACTCCAGGTCCAGTGCTCTATTCACTGCACTCTCTAGCCAAAAAAAAAAAAATTAATAAAAACGAATTTTTATTAATTCTTTAGTGTGACCGTATTCTTGTTAGGCACTATGTATAAATGACACATTCTTTATCCCAAATGAACTTTGGTATAAATTTTAGTCTTCAGTAGTTTCCTGACATTTTTGTAGAGATAAACTTTGCTACTTATCTACATAGAGTGATTTATTAAAGTTCATATTAACAAAAATGATGACATGGTAGTGAATTTAGCTTGTGAAATTTGGTATATCCTCTACATTTTAATCCAGGAGTTCTTTTTTTCTTCTTTTTTTGGTGAGGCAGTTGGGGTTAAGTGACTTGCCCAGGGTCACACAGCTAGTATGTGTCAAGTGTCTGAGCCCAGATTTGAACTCAGGTCCTCCTGACTCCTAGGCTGGAGCTCTATCCGCTGTACCACCTAGCTGCCCCAAGTCCAGGAGTTCTTAACCCAGGAGAGAGAGAGAGAGAGAGAGAGAGAGAGAGTGTGTGTGTGTGTGTGTGTGTGTGTGTGTGTGTGTGTGTGTGTGTG